TGACAATGTGCTCTAATCATGATCCATTTATTCCATGATATTGTGGATGGTAATATGAAGACACAAATTGTTTTTATTTCCCAAACTACTCATTATTTCTTTGAATATTTGTGACAAATTTTGAATCATGATCTGATTGTGTTTCTTTAGGTAATCCATATCTTGTAAAGAAAATTAGTCAAACTTAACGACCAGAATTTTTAAACTTTTTTTTCCCCAAAATGCACTGCCTCAGGAAATATTGTCAAACATCTACAATTGTTAAAAGGTACTTTCCTGGTTTTAGGTAGAGGTCCCACATAATCTATTATGACCTGGTTAAACAATTCCTCGGAAGCTAATATTAGAAGTGAAGGCAGAAGTTTAATTGATGATCAGGGATTTCCCACTACCTGACATGTACGGCACATCTAGCAAAAATTTAACCACATTTAATCCATAAAAATGGTTTAGCATTTTAGCCTGAGATTTCCCAATATCTTAGTGACCTGCCACTGGCGTTTTGTGACTCTCTGCCAAACTTTTAAGATACTAAGTAGGATCTGTTGTTCATTCCCTTGTCAGCTGGTATTTGGGGTGTTCCTCATTTCTTCATTAACACTTTGTATTTTAAACATCATCATGCAGGAATTGGTTCTATCAATTTCAGCATAGGTTGCTTTACAATTCTCCCAATTCGTTTGTTGCATTTTTATTAACGAAAGTGGGCTAAACATGTCAGACTCATTCTCTTTACCTTCATCTTTTTTACTTAAGTTTTTAAAATAGTCTTAGATAACTGAATTTCCAGATCTTGTCCCTTTTTCACGGATTCCCGCTCTTCCTGTCTAAATCCGAAACTGACATCTAGTCAAAACAGAGTCGGGAAACAATCCAGGATGTTTCTCCTGTAGCATCTACTTCTTTTGTTTCCACTAGTTCTTCCAACATGCTCAGTAAAGCCAGTACCTTTGAACCAGCCAAGTCATTCCCAAAACAAAATCAACTCCTTTTATACCTCCGAGTTGAAGAATAAATAGTTTTCTTTGAAATAAAGTAATTAGAACCACCAGTGATCTCATTCTATTTAACAATATAGACGAAGAATTTGCTTGAGTGCTGTGAACCATCCCTCCCCGTTCCTAGTTTGTTCTGAGGGAACATACTCTGTTTGTACCACAGCCACCAGGTTTTACTTCCCAATTCCTTTCATTACACAGTCTTTTCTGAGGATTCCTCAGCCATTATACTGCTTCAATAGGTCTCTAATTTAACTTCCAGAAATTAGTTTCAGAATGTCCAGTCTTAAAAATATGGTCTTTCCAATTGTAGCATTTTACTTTCTTTCTTCATTTTTGGACTGTGAATTAATAATGCTTTAAAGAGGACTGTGCAAGGATGTTGCTGCAGTACAAAAAAAAACATGTTTACGGGAGAAAATGGAGAGTTGTATACAATCTTGCATTTTCCTGGAACTGATAGTGCAGAAGCAGCCACCAAGCAGTGTACAGATTCTGAACTATGTGAAAACTGCTGACGGCAACATTCTGATTGGATCCTGATGAGGTGGCCATGTGTTCTGTGGAGCCAGTGCAACAGACAGCCACCTAGCCTGCAAAGAGAAAGCATTGAAGATTCTCTGTCTCTATTGTGAGGAGATACCAGATGTCTCCAGTAGCAGTTTTCTATGCAGATCCCCTGTTGGAGGAGGAATGAAACGCCTCTAACAACAAGGAAATGATGGATTCTCAACCAGTGAATGAAAGAGAGCACCAGTGTGCTAAAATGAGTTGAAAGGAGGAGGAAAAAAGACTCGAAGCCTGTGGTCCAGATTAATGATATTGAATTGTGTTTCCCTGATCTTTTCCTTTTCCACAATTAATATCCATTTCTTATCTGTCTCTGTGCATCTGTCCGAGTGTAAAGAGGGGATTTTAAGAAGAGAAAGAGTTTACATTGTAGAGTTATAAAGTTAGCAATTCACATTTCCCAATTTGTCATTGGTTAAAGACAATTTGTTTGTAATAGGCAATCATTTTCTTGATAAGTACAGAAACCTGGTGAGTGGTATCTTTGAACTTGAATTTGTCAGTTACGTAAATTAGGACCCTGAGATGGTTGACTAAATCTTTTCATATTTGTGACAACTCTAGGAAGAGTGGAGCTTAATTTCCAGTGAACTACCTCGGAGTTGTGACACAAATCAAAGCTTTTTCTTTTTAAAAAAAAAACATTTTTATGCCCTACTCTTTCAATATTCTGACGTCCTTCTGTTTGGTCCCTAAAACTAACATTTTTACCATTCCTTCAATTTCTTTGTTGATTCCCAAAAGACCATTTCCCCACATGACTGTATGTGAGATGTCATAAATATTTGCTAGAACTGCTGCTTTTTGGGGTTTTGATGCTTGACACTCATCTAAGTAAGTCTTAAGTCACAGAGTTGTATAACACGGAATCACAGACCCTTTGGTCCAACTCATCCATGCCAGCCAGATATCCTAAATTAATTTAATCCAATTTGCAAGCATCTGGTCCATATCCCTCTAAACCTTTCCTATTCATGTATCCATCCAAGTGCTTTTTAAATGTTCTAATTGTACCAGTCTCCACCATTTTCTCTGGCTTCTTCCATAAATGCACCATCCTCTGTGTGAAAAAGTTGCCCCTTAGATCCCTTTAATATCTTTCCCCTCACCTTAAATGGTGCCCTCTAGTTTTGGATTCCCCTACCCTGGAAAAAAAGACCTTGGCTATTCGCTTTATCCATGCTCCTCATGATTTTATAAACCTCTAAGGTTACCCCTCAGCCTCATACTATTTTGGAATTTATAATCATGATTTCCCACACATTCTTAATTTTTTTCCCCTCAATCTTCAGTGACTGCACAACATTTCTTTCTCCCTTGTAAATTCTACAAAATGTTTGGTTAGGTTTCTTTCTTATAATCTTAAATTTTAATTGATAAGCTTCAGGAACAAACTCTTAAGTATGAACTACTGTTCCTTTAACAGTTTCATAGTCAGACTACTCCTCAAACTGAAGTAGAAATTCATAGCTGTACTTAAGACAATCTGTAAAATTAATGTCCAAATATTGTTTTGGATATTTCTATTTCAGTTATCTTTCCAAATGAGATGAAATATCTTTCAACACATTCCTATAGAAGTACAGGCACTAAACACAGATTTCTAGTTAACTCAAATCCTTCAATGGAATCAGAATTACCCTTTAAGCTACTAGCTCTTCTTCATTCAAGAATTTCTCTAGCTAAGTAATGTAGTATAATTTCTTTCTTCCTCTTTGCAATTCAAGCTTCTTTGGTTCCATTTGCCTTTCTTTCTCATCTCTTTCCAATCTTAAGAAGTATTCTCTTAAGTTATTTTTATTTCTAACTCAATCCTACTTAATTCTAGCAAAGACATATCAATGTGGGAGGCACCATGGCTCAGTGGTTAGTACTAGGGACCCCAGTTTGATTCCAGCCTTGGGTGACTGTGTGGAGTTTGCACATTCTCCATGTCTGCATGGGTTTCCGCTAGGCGCTCCAGTTTCCTCCCACCGTCCAAAGACGTACAGATTAGGTGGATTGGCCATGCTAAATTGTCCTGTAGTGTCCAGGGAGATGCAGTTTAGCTGGATTAGCCATGACTAATCCAAGGTTACGGGATAGTGTGTGGGTCTAGGCGAGATGCACTTTGGAAAGTCAGTATGGACTCGATGGGCTAAATGGCCTATTTCCGTACTGTAGGGATTCTATGAATTTCAGGTTTCCTTCCTTTTAATTCTTGTTTTAAGTACCGGGTAAATATTTTTCATTCTTCTGAAATCCTATTTCTGCCTTCAATTTATCTGCTAATTCTCTCAGTGTAGCCATAGTCAAAGATTTCAAGTAATCCATTGTTATATTTTCTACTCTCAGAAAGGCTTAGCAACATTCAAGACCATTTGAAGGTCCAACCTGCACAATATACTTCACAGCAATCTTCTTAATTTTGTGTCCAGTACCTCCATGTAATTTTAAGGTTCACAGGGCCCTTAGAAATTTGTGGAATTTCTTTTTGCCAAAAACCTCAACTTTGTCATGATTCAAGCCGATGTGAAATCTCACTGAACAGACCATAGCCTTTTCCCCCCCCCAAATTGGTTAGCATAGTGGTCACTCATTGAACATAGTCACACAAGGCTACCAATGTGCTTTTAACAAAAGGAAATAAGTTTATTACACAAATTAAAAAAAACTATAATGTACATATAAAAAGACAATTTGAAAAGATCATCAGCAGCAAAAAGAAAGATTCAACCCCAAGTTTTCCAGCAACACTCTTTACAGACAATTAATCAGTGAAGCAACATTCCTATCTTCATTCTTTAATTTCTCAACAGAAGAGGTCACAAGCATTTGGTTTCAGTAAGTTTATACATTCAGCAATTTGATTCTTTACATCTCTCCCAGAGGTGGGGACATACAGATACAGGCTAACTCACTGACATTTCTCATTGAGCACAAAGCAAAGCTCAAAGCTTTTTCCATCCCTATCTACTTGGACTGGTGAAACAACTGAAGATTTCTTTCCATTTCAGTCAAAACGAAACTGCCCTGCTGCTGGTATGAATCTTTTCTTTTGAATTGGACTTGCCACTGGCTTCTCTTTCTGCAGGTCATAAAAGTTCAATTTAGTAAGCACTTCAACAATTATATCACCAAGTAGTTTGACTAATCATTTAGCTTAGGTCATATGATTTCTTGAAAATACTGTTTTGACCCATTGCTAAAAGCAATCGAGTCTCTGATCCTAAACTTCAGAATCCAAGTTCCCAAATAATTACGGCAGATAAACAAGTCTTCATCATAGTGAGATCTCACTTCCCATCTTCTATTACTATGATAGTTGTCTTTTACTTTTACTTTCAGCCCTCTGTCTTGCAATTAGCTAGCTACCTACCTATGTTGCTACTTGTTCTCCGATTCTGCATGCTCTTATCTTACTCATTTGCGTACTCTTCGCAACAGCCTTACCTTACAGTTTCTATTGTCAGCTGTATGTTCATTGAATGGTTTGTCAAGCTGGAAGATAATTTCTGTGCTTCTGTAGGTGCTCTTGGTTTGCAGGATAATATTATCACCATCTACTTTGATGATTGTGGTGGGTTTTATGACGTTGCCCACCTGTCGGGTTGCAAAGTCCACTCCTGATGGTCAGGAAGCAGAAATGTTAACACATTTAGCAATAATACAACTGTTGTAAATCATACAAACACCACTGTATGTTGTAAAGTTTTTTTTTTAAACAGATGATTCTGGAACAGTTCCTTTCAACCAAGGACCTTAGATTAACATATAGTAATTCTCTAGGAAACAGAATTCTGAAAACTCTACTATACCTGTCCCAGCTCCATGTGTACTAATGTCTACTGACATCATTGATAATATCATCAGCATAACAGGATTTAAACACTATTCTACATCTCCTCATATGTAACGAAAGAACTGTAAAAATGGAACAACAGATCCACATTTGGCGGTGCAGTAAATGGAATTATCTCTTATAAATGCAAACTCCCTTCTTTGATTAAAATAAACCAGCGTGGCAACGTGCATGAGTTTGCCAATCCTTGGAAAATCCTGGACATTCTAACCGGCTACAGTTACCTCTGAGGTCTTGCCAGTTCTAAGGTCTGCTGGTGTGGCTGGTTTCGATGTCAGAGCCAGCCTATGTCTGGTTACCTTTATTTTAAAAGTTCATAGGTGCCATTTCACATCACAATCAGACATTGCCGTCCTTGCAACCAAGGACCTTTATTAAACAATAAACCGTATTTACAAAAGTTAGTTAGAGAAAGCAACCCCAGGAGCCCCCTGCTCCACATAGATATCAGCAGGCCTCACTGATGATGTGTGCTACAGAGTAGCTGAACAAGAAGGAACTGTTATCGTACACTGTACAATACTCATGATGCTAAAATGAAACAGGAGTCATAAATAGGTGACTATGAAACTGAGAAATTCATAAACATAATGTTCTATTTACATAAATATAACTCACTGCCTCTAATCAGAAGGCACGATTGTAACCATGTGCTTAAAATGTGAAGAGGGCTGAAATATGTCCTTACAAACCCAAAATCTCCAGAAAGTCAAGTTGAACAGTTTGGTAATGTTCCTGATAAATCAGCAACTATCATATTAATAAATACGTTATAATATATGCTCTAATCGGGACTGGACTCGAATCCACCTTTGGAATGGATTAAAACCAATACTTTAAAATCTAATAGATATATGATTAATCACAATATATATGCAACTGGCAAAATTAAAACTGCAAATCAGACAAATTAAAAATCAGTAAAATAATCATCGATCAAGTAGCACCTGTGTTAAAATTGATAAAACACACAGATTCATCGTGCTAGGTTTCTGAAAGGAAATGAGAACACCATCGTTGCTGAAGTTAATAATACCGAAAATGGTTGTTATTGATCATATTAATATTTGAATGATGATTGAGAATGTTGGGGACGGACGGGGAATAACGGTCTCCCGAAGGCGCGAAGCACCCAGAACCGTTAGGGCTGTGCTCGAGACCCTGATTGATCAGCAACAGACCGAGAAAGGATCAATAACAAACGGTAAAAATCAATAATAATTAATAATTTAATTGATAATTTCTTTGGAAAAACCGTTACATAGATTGCAATTTGGGTGGGGTTTTACTACCTCCTTTCAGGTGTAATATACTTGCTTTTGTTTCTATTTATATCAAATTCGTAGATCAGATGCTCAAGTGAAATCTATCTATTGCATTTCGATAAGTTTTAAAATAGTCAACGACAGTTTCTTTTTATTGTCGTTGAGTTTTGTTCCTACTGACTGCTCGTCAACCCCTACTCCGCCAAGTATCCAAATGATTTTGGGCCGCCACTCACCCAGTTCTCTCATGTAATTATCGAAATTCTGGGTGTCCACCAGCCTCCAGGTGCCCAAAAAACGTTCCATGATTGCAGATCAAATTACATGAAGACAGACAATGAGAGTACCGCCTCCCCAATTTTCTAAACACCCAATCATTCTCCTTGCCACTCACTTTCACTCCGCCCTCGCTTCATCTCTCTCCTCCTTCTTCCAGTCACTTTTCATTTCCTCCCCTCCTTCCTTCCACACCTCCCATTCCCCTCCTGCCTCTCCTTGCAACCCTTCATCCTCCTTCCTTCCCTTCCATCCATCCTCCTGCCCCCACTCCAGCTCTCTCCCTCCTTCTTGTCACACCTGTCCCTCGTCATCTCCTCTTTTTCCCTTCCTCCTCACTCCAGTACTTTTTTCTCCTCCCCCCATTCTATTTTTCTCTCCCTTCATCCATATACACCTCTTCCTCCCCTCACTGCCCTTCTCTTTGCCTCCACCCTCTCCTTTACTCTTCCTAACTCCAGTGGATACAAGCTCAGCCTGTCCAAAGGTTTCCGTTATAACAATTCATCTATTCAAAGTATTGGTTTATCAAACTTCTTCTGAACTACTTCTAATGCATTTATGCCCTTCCTTAAAGGAGACCAGTACTGTGCCCAGAGTCTCAAACATGGTGTCACCACTATTAACTAACACACAAACTACTTACTTGTATATTAAATTCCCCTTACAAATGAACAATAAAATTCTATTAGCTTTCCTAATTATCTACTGTACTTTTATGTTCAAATCCTAAACCATTAACCTTCTTAATAATTCGTGCACTGGAACGCCTACATGCCTCTGCACTAAAAGAATTGTTCTCAATTCAAGTAATACCCCATTTTATTATTCTTCCTGGTAAAGTGAAGAACTTGTTGGAAAACAACATGATACTTCATCTGCCTGGGTTTTGCCCACTCACTCAACCTACCTATATCTGTCTCCAAATTAGTATCAACAGTGCTGGCATCCAGTTCCATTCTAGCTGACCTTAATTGTTTGCAATAACATCTCTGCTTAGTTGCAGGATCCTTCAACAGATTATTACAACATCATTATTTACTGAATCTGGTGTTGCTTTTTTCCAGTTTGCAGAGCCACAGTTTTCAGATTTCCTCAAACAAGTACAAAAAAAATTTAAGACCAGATTTATCTAAATCTGGTCCATTTTGGCTACCTCTGAATCAGTCAATTAAATATTTCTGTAGCAACAAATAGTCTAATCATTAACTGTATATGGAACATTAGCCAAGCAATTTTGTTCGTGACTTATTGACAAGGTGGCAGTACTATATCCTAACGGCAATATCTCTTGTGCTGCTGAAATCAATTCAGAAAACAAAACACAAACCTGAAATGAGAATTTGGCATACAAAATACTTATAACCTTTTGTTTTGTAACTGTGTCACTGAAGTAGTCAGCACTAGGCTGGCCAAGAAAACATTCATTCTGGAAGATTAGTGATATAATGAAAATAAATTGGCATATATTGTAGTTTCAGTCACACTCCTACTAATTACAGTTGAACTTTCATGGTAAAACCTAAATAGCATGTATTTAATATTAATACATTTTATATCGATGATGATGCCCTCAGTCATTTTTTGGAATTTTTATATTAACAAACAAACAAACAAACAAACAAACAAAACGTCTGCTACCTTCTAACCACATTGTTTACATTTGTATTTTTCTACTGACAGAGAATAGCTTGTTTTACATAATTATCAAAATTGAAAATTTATGTTGCTACTCAATACAGATTGTATGCTAATACACTAGTGCCACATTATCATGTCGCAATATTTTTGATCAATTTCTTCCAATAATTTTTTGGAAAATTGAATACTTGGAGAGGTCAGAGTTATTTAAGGATAACCAAAGATTTATTCAAAACACACATCATGCCTAACTGATCTAATTAATTTTCTCTCCAAGCCAGTCACCATCCTGATTTGGAGGTATATCTATCTTCCTTCCGTAGTGCTGGGTCAAAATCCTGGAACACTCTCCCTGAAGACATGTAGATTTACCTATACTAAAATGAATGCAGCAATTAAAGAAGGCAATTCAACATCACAGTCTCAAGGGCAAAAATGGATGGAAAATAAAGTCTAACCCAGCCAGTAATGCCCACATCCAGTGAATGATTAAAAAGAATAGATTTTAAGGAATGTTTCAAGGAAAATGAAGTCCGAGACATTTTGGGAGACAATTCTAGAGTTCATCATCTTGGCAGCTGAAGGCACTGGCATAAATGGTGGAGCAATTAAAATTTCGGGATTCTCAAGAGGCTAGAATTAGAGTTTAGATATCTTGAGGGTTTAACTGGAGGAGAAAGCAGGGAATTGAGGAGCTAAGTTTTGAAGAGATGTAAAAATCAATTATGATCATTTAAAAATTTAATGTGGTTTAAGCAGGAGCCAGTGTAAGTCAGCAAGCACTAGGATGATAGGTGAATGGTATTCTGTGCAAATCAGGGCACATGCAGAGTTTTACAGTCATCTCATACTTACAAAGGTGGAACACGGGAAACAGGCCAAGAGTCCGTTTGGACATAACAGCAGAAAAATGGTCTTGGGCGGAAATACATGTTTGGAGGTCAGAATGAGTGGTCTTAGTGATGGCACAGAATAGTGGTTGAGAACTCATCTCAAGTCAGATATGATATTGAGGTTGCCAAGTCAGTTTCAGCCTCAGTTGTAAAAGAGCGTGTTGGATTTTGTGCTGAGGGAATGGAGTTTCTGGTGGAATGCAAAGATAATGGCTTAAGTTTTCTGTATATTTAATTGAAGGAAATATCTGCTTATTTGTGCTGGACATTGGATAAGCAGCCTTACACACAGGAAACAGTGGAGGAGTTGAGAGAGAGGACATAGTGGTGAAGTAAAGCTGAGTTTAATCAATACACATACAGAAATTGTATTTTGGAAGCTGCCACCAAGGGATAACGTAGATGAAAAATAGGGGAGGTCCAAGGACATATCTTTGAGAACACCAGAGTTAGCTGGAACAGAAGCCATTGATAGCAATTCTTAGGCTATAATTAGCCAAATAAGAATGGTACCAAGAGATTGCAGACCCACCAAGCAAGATAAGTGGAGAGACACAGGAGAGGATGGTATGGTTATTCACACAAAAAGCTGCAGACAGGTCAAGAAGAATTAAAAGGAGATAGATTCCCTTTGCTAGAGTCACAAGGGATGCCATTTGGAGTCTTAAAGAACCACTTTGGTACTTTGT